TTCTTGCTGTGTGCTTTGTTATATGAATGGGAAATAATGTATGTGGAGTGAGCTATTTATACATATGTTTTATGTAATAAAAGATATATAATATATATCTCTAAGGAGATATATTATATGCATTAGATTGATACACAAGAAATGTGGGCTCACTCTCCCCCGAGATTATAACTCAATATATTATGGATTGAGAAATATATTGTTACTAAAACAATGTAGATCTTTACACATTAACCATAGTTAAAGAAATGTCATTTAATGGTTACCATAAAATATATATATCACTATGTGATATGTCACTTACCCCCCCCCCCACACACGCACAGATATATATATATATATATATATATATATATATATATATATATATATATATATATATATATATATATATATATATATATATATATATATATATATATATATATATATATATATATATATTGTGTATACGAATTATATTATTTATATATATATATATATATATATATATATATATATATATATATATATATATATATATATATATATATATATACTTGGTTGAGCTCACATTAAATTAAATTACAAAATATGTGTCTTTATTAGTATTAGAAATTTTCGTGACAAATATATATGTGTCTTTTTAGAATTTAAATTAAATGGGTCGTGACAAAATTTTGTGACAAAATTCTAATACTTATCACTTGACCACTATTTGGTTTACTCCGAATGAGACTAAAATGAAAAGTTACATGCAAATAAATCGTAATGAAAAAAATAAATTTTAAAAAAACGTAATTAATGCATTTAAATATACAATTGTAACCTCGATTTGAACTCATTAATTGCAGGTATATCCTCATTTATAAGCACGCGTGATGAATGCCAATGGTTAGATACCTGAACTTCACCTACGAAAACATAACAATAATAGTGAAATGTAATAAATGACCCTAACATTAATTATACATGATGCATAAAAGAAATTATTGAACAAACTAATACCATTCTTTATCTCAGTCGTTGCAAATTGTATTACAACAATATACGGCCCTACACCAATATCTTGAATTCGTTGAAATATGTATTCAGCAAACTTTCCCCATAACAAACAATTGACCTTCGAACCACTTGCATAACAAATAAAATGATAATTGATATGTAAAACACATGAAAACATAAATGATTTAAAATCCAAAAAAATATATTTTAGTGATTTTTGAAAATAATCAATATCTTCAAGTTCAAATGGAATGTTTTTTTTGTTCCATCCGATAGGTGATTCAATGAACCTATCGACAAAAGCGAACCAATAACATCTGCAATTAATATTAACAATTGTAAGAATACATCCAGTAAATAAATGATAAATATTAAGAAAAACATCAATGGAAAAATTTAATACCTATCGTATACTCATTGTTATTTGACGCTTGTTGTATATCTGCGTAAGGTGTGAACTTAAATGAATACATTGGAATGGACGGAACGTCAACTTCTCTCACAGTAGATGTATATTCAAAAGTGACTCTATAGTCATTCAAGGCATGCTTGTAGGTCTTGACACTAAAAAAAGCAGATAGGTTTGACATTACATTATAACATCTGTTCACTTTGATCTTAGACTCAAATCTGTATAACAGTGTATACTTAATGGAAGCTTGCACTGTATCACCCTGCGTAATGAAAAAACAAATGTGAAAAATATATTTTCCTAACAATCATATTTGACGTATTAAAAGAAAATAATCACCTGTGCATCAATGAATATCATCTCCATGTCTTGAAGATCTTTCTTAAAATAATTTGGCTGTTTCTAAATGTGCAAAACACGGATTTTGAGATTCCATGACTTTTTTTCACCTCCCAAGTTTCTAATGAGATCTACTTGCCTTGACATCTATATGTGTTTAATACACGTAATCAAAAATTTGTTAGTGAATTAAATCAAACAATAAAAGATGAATATACGATAACAACTCTTGAATTATATATATTCCAGAATA